GGTTGTAGCACAATCCAGTTACATGTGTGTCATATAAAGACTCTGGAGTTAAACTGCCCAAGTATATGTTACTGCTCTGCTGATTCCTAGCAGCATAAGCACAACACTTCTCCCTTGATTTATTCTTCTCTAAAGATGGGTAATGAGCTCTGCCTCCAGGAGCTGTGGTTGTGAAATGAAATGATTAGTGGAAAGACTTGGCACAGTAATTGACACACATAAACCATTCCATAAATGCTGTCTCATATCATTGTCATTAACATCACATCTAATCTGCCAAAGCACTCTTTATAAAAGCACATTCTAAAAATAAGATGCAGTCCCTTGTGGGAAATAATGGAGTGATTATAGTTAATCTCAGAAATATATGACTAGGGAAGGGAACAGTGACAAGAAAAAGGAAAAAAAAATCATCTTAATAAAATGATTTCACTGCCATTTGCCTGTTGTTGGCCTTTTAATATGATTGATTGAATTTTAGCAAATATGTTTTTCTCCTTTACAGATAAAAGAATGATGGGTCAGAACTTCTCCAGTGTTTCCAAATGCAAGGATATAACTAAGCTATGTTTTTAAAGAATCCAGCTGTTCAACTAAAGGAACAATGTGCAATTGGTATTATTTTTAATGAGAGAGAAAATTAAAGCTATAATTAGCAGCAAAGAAGTATTGATTATCACTCCTGGAAAAATTTCAAGTTGCCAAACCATCTTTCCACTTGAAATGTTAGTAAATGGATTAACTTTGCTAAGATTTATGGAAAGGAAACTATCTGAAATATGTATTAGAAGAATTGAATCATCATGAAATGAACTCAACTTCCAGCCAAACTACGGAATGTTTACAGTTTTCTTTTGGTTTTCAACTCTACTGCATACATTTTGGAAAAATAATTAAATTGGGTGGTTGAGATAGTTAATATTTGACCAGTGCAAATTTTTTTTGTTAACTCTTAAGGAAAGATTTATTGAAGGTTATAATCATAAAGGTATTTTGTGTTGAGCATAAGAATGTTCTTTCTCCAACAAGTAAACTTTTGAAAGATTAGGTTGGAATTAGTGGAAACTCTTCCTTTGTTATCCAAACTATTATTTAAGGTGTAAAGCCAACTAATAAAATATCTTAGTTTGAGCATAATAGCAAAATGTGTTTTGTTTCTTAAATGTATATGAGATTCTTTACTACTGACTTTGGGGTTTAATGGGATATTTTTTTCTTTTCCTTTTTAAAAAAAAAATGTCTTTATTGATTTTAGAAAGAGAGCGAGCAAGGCAGAGGGGGAGAGAGAGAAAAAAAATCAATGTGAGAGGAGAACATCGATCTGCTACCTCATGCAAGCACCCTACCCTGGGTCTAGCCTGCAACCTGGTCATGTGGCCTGACTGGGTATCGAACTAGCAACCCTTTAGTACATAGGACAGTGCTCAACTAACTGAGCCACAATGACCAGGGTTTTTGGGGTCTTTTTCACTTATGAGTTTCCCAATTCTTTCTCATGAATTCTTGCTTTTTATCTTACTAGCAGGTCAAATTTAGTCTCATCCATTTTTTAACCATAACTTTTTTTTTTCATTCTCATTTTTAAAACTACATACGTGATAATTTTTTCTTTATCTAGCATGCCTTATAAACTGTAAGTCCCTGTATGAATCATGTTTTTATTTTAAATATATTTTATTGATTTTAGAGAGGAAAAGGGCGAGGGAGAGAAAGATAGAAACATCAATGATGAGAGAGAATCATTGGTTGGCTGTCTCCTGCACACCCCACACCTGGGATCGAGTCCACAACCCAGGCATGTGTCCTGATCATAAGCCAACAAGAGTCAAGGTTTTCTTAAAGTGTCAACAACAAACTCCAAGGCATATTTACATAACAAGTGTCATTGGGCTGCTTCCTGGGTACAGGTTGCTTTTGGGTAGATTTCATCCGCAGCTGAGCCTAGAATTCTGATTTGATGGACCATATAACTTTTAAAGTTGGGGAACGGTGTGATCAGGCTTACCATCAACAATAGCAATTTTTTCTTCTTAATTGAAAAATATCATTCATGATAAAGTGCACAGAGCATAAATGTGCTGCTTAGTGAGTGATCACTAGGTGAACACACCCATATAATAAATATATTTCTTTATTAAGAAGTATTTGTGTACCTGTTACTTATAGAGTGAACTTGCTAAGGCAAGAAAGTGTTTGTTTATTATATTTAGCAGGAATTTAATAGCTGCTCCTCACAGAAACTTAATTTCAAGTGACTTAAGTACCATTAGCCCCGGCTTTGACTCAGTCTTGATGGAGCAGCTCACAATGTCTGCAAGGACTCATCTGTACTCTGCTTTCTCTAGGGTTGGTTTGCACTCAGACTCCAAACAGACCTCCTGGGATTCTACATTTAGATCCTTTGACCCTCATTCAGGGCAAGGGCAGGCTAATATATAGTCTTTTTCCAGAAGCCCTAGAAACATGTCATTCATTACTTCCTTGGGGCAATCTTGGGATTGGATGTGAAATGAATACCACTCAAAATGCACAGGCTTGCTTGCTGCAGCAACAGACCACACACCTTGGTGCTTCTTAGTAAGAAGGTGTTGGGGGCAGGGAGAGCTTAAAGAATTTGCGCGTGGTTAGGTAATTTTGAGGAGGGCTCATGTGAACAAGGGTTTCTTGTCAGAAAGTGGGAAGAATTTTGCAATTGGGTATCAATTTTTATCTATTGTAGCACAGAGAAATGGAACAAGGTAAAGCAGCAGTTGCACAGGTTAGCCACCAGAGGGGGTTGCCCAGTCATTTTTGTGGTTTGCACAGTGACTTGGTCATTCTCACTTCAAGTTCCGTATCTGACAGGAGATCTGGGAGCTGTTCCATGTACAGCCGGAAAACAACGTGGCCTCGCACGTGGCCTCGCTACAAGTGCGGGGCCAGCTTTTAGTCTCTCTCTTACATTGAAACCCCTGAAATGTATGTAGAAACAAAATACTGTAATGAAATAAGTCAATGAAATTATACCTCAAACATGGGGACATAAAGTATGGAAGAGTAGGCAATATGTTTAGATTTTCTCTTAAAAGGATAGACTCACACTGCAAAGCGAATGATATGCTATTTACCAAAGATACGTCTAAAATAAAATAAGAGATTGCAAGAAAAAGAGGCACAAATGTATCAGAGAAGTAAAAGTTACTATATGGCAGTGGGTGTCTACCAGGTGCCAGGCAATTTTCACACAGTAGTTCAGTTAATATGACATTTTTATAATTATATGAGGCAGGCATTATTAACCTCAATCCTTAGGTGAGAAGACTGAAGTTGAATAAAAACAAATCAATTACAGAGCCATGATTTGAATTGGTATTGAAGCCTGACTGATAGGCATGTCATTACACTGCATTGTCTCTAGACACCAGGAATAACAGTACTGGACTAAGAATTTAAAGTAAGCAAACAAACAAAAAGCCCTGTGATAAAGAGATCCATTTCATATCGATAAGAGGCACAACCATGGGTACAAAAATGAAACTAAAGTACAAAATAGAATCAAAATGCATAATGAAAATTTACTAGAAGTAAAAAAATTAAAAGATATAAATAAAATTATCAAGAGATTCTCAACAGCCCTGTCTCATACATACATCATGGAAACAGAAGGTCACAGAGGACTTGGAACATAATAAGGTAGAAAGACTGAGCATATAGTAAAAAAATGCAGATATAAATCAGGTTTTCTTCAAGAATTTGATAATGAGGTAAATACTACTCTTGGAGAGTTATGTTTTCAAGGCAACTCAATAGATGGCATTATCTATCAGCTTTAGAATGTTTTAAATAGGTTAGGTTCCCTTTCCTGTATTACTGGAATTATTGATTACATAGTATAAAATAGCTGAAATAATTTAATCTTTAATATTTAAATAAAAGATGAAATGTGAATAAGCAAGAATAGATTATAAAATGACCAGAGAAGTTTAAAGTCAACCAAATATAACTCTTAAAAATGAAAAATATAATTGAAATGAAAAGCTGGTACTAGTATTTAGATAAACAAATTAGATACCACTAAAAGAATTAGTGACACCAAATATATAATATATATGTACAAATATATATTGTACTAACTACACAAATATATATGTACATATGTGTGTTATATAATACAAAGTGGAATCAAAATATAACCTTAAATATTATCAACATATATTAAATAAATTAACTAAACATTTAACTAAACAAAACTTAGAAAAGATACAGAGCAAGTATCCTGAAGGTTGTGTGTGTGTCCAGAGCTTATTTTTTTTCTGTTAAGTTCATTTCTTTTACCATTTTGTAGAAATTGTTACAGACACCATGGATAGGTGTCCAGTGTACAGAAGCCAGCCAATGAGCAATGGAAAAGAGAATCTGTCTTTTTTGGATAGGTATTCTTTTTTGTTTATTATTTATTTTATTTCTCTCTCTCCATTTATCCCCTCTATGCCCCCCTCCCCACAATTACCTCACTGTTGTCCATGTCCATGAGTCCTTTATTTTTCTTTTCCTTTTTTTCTCAGTCCCTCCATGTCTCCTACCCCCTACTGCTCTACCCTCACCCTTACCAGAGATGTCTGCCTGCTCTCAGTCACCTCTGCAGGCTGAGGGCAGAGAAGCAGTGAGGAAACAAGCACATGGTTTAGTGACAAAAAGATTAAAGTTCATTCTTTACCAACTTTGTATTCAGCCTTGGACACATTAACCTCTCTGAGGCTCAGTTTCTTCTACAACATTACGGAGGTAATGACATGCACTTTATAGAAGGTTGCTGTGTGGAAAAAATGAGTAAATTCCTGTGAAGGACTTGCTTCATGGCCTGGCACTCTGTCAGTGTTTGAGCCATGTATATAGCTGATAGCGTGAGTCCAATACCATGATACACACAGACGGCTTTTGAGAATTTTAAAGGACCTTGAACATATAAGCTGATATTAGTTCAACACTGTTAATCCACTTCTTACAATGTATTGGAAGTCTGTGAAGTATTTGATAACTCTATTCACTCAGTCTGGAGACTGGAATACTGTTTGAGAGTGGCAGGCCACCTCCCCTTTCGCTGATTGGCAGAGGGAGACCTGGCTGGACAGGAGGAGACTAACTCAGCGGTGGGGGAAAGCGGTGGGGTAACCTGGCTGAACACTCTCAAGGGGAAAGGCAGGAGTTTATCACGATGGCTGGAACAAAGACACTTCTGATGCTGGAAAACTTCATCGGTGGAAAATTTTTACCTTGTAACTCCTATATAGATTCTTACGATCCATCTACAGGCGAGGTGTACTGCAGAGTACCAGACAGTGGAAAAGAAGAGGTGAGTGTGTTCACTCAGGAGACTGAAATGGTCTAAATAGGTCGGTGAATTATGTGTAAATTCATTTCTAGAAGAAAAAGTCTGAAATGGTCTTAATATGTCAGTGAATTATGTATAACTAACTAATTTTCTAGAAGCAACGGGGAGGATGTGGGGGTTGGAAGAAGGTTAAACTTTAGCAGAAGGCAGATTTTTAGTTCTAGAAAGATGTACTTTGTAACTGATCATGTATGGTACATGGAGCAAATCTCAGGTTAATTATATGTTAGAAGCAAATCATTAATTTAGGCCACCTAAGACACAGGCACAAGTTTTAGACATTCCTTAATAGGGGTCTAGTAAAAAGTATTGTTTGAAAGAATTGTCAGTATTACGTGCTCCCTTTCTCTACCGAGTATTACTTAAACTTGCCAGTATATCCGTGGCTTTCTAAAAAACGTGTTACTTTGCTAAAACACAAAATTAGAAAACCCAGGTATCTGTTTTAGACAAGGGGCCCAGTGCACGAATTCATGCACTTTGAAAGGAACTGTGGGCCGAGAGGCTGCAGTAGGCACAGGGGTGGGTCTTGGCCCATCCTCTGCTTCTCCGCTCAGCCCCTCCCTCCTCTGCCCTGGTCCCCTGTCAGCCAGCAGCCCTGCTCCCGCCACCGCAGCTCCCATGCACTGACAGTGCCAGCCATGCTCACACCTACTGATGGCACAGAGCAAATGGGGCCTGCGTCAGCAGTGGGTGTAAGTGGGGCTGGCGCCATCAGTGGGTGAGAGTGGCAGCTGCTTCCCTGATCGACCCTCATGAGCAAGGGAAGGTGGAGAAGCCCTAAGGGGCTATCAGGGCCAGCAGCCGCCACTTTCACCCACTGATGGCGCCGAGTGATTGAGACTGGTACCAGGCACCAGCAGCGGGTACAAGCAGTGGCTCCAGCACTGGCTGTGGGTGCAAGTGGCAGCTCTGGCACCTGCCGCAGGTGTGAGCACCTGGTGGGACCGTGATGCGCAGGAGCAAAGAATTTGCAGTAACCACTAGAGGCTTGTTCCGATGACAGCGACTGGCACCCCACCATGGTCTAACACCCCCGCTCACCTGCTCCACCATCCCACAGCAACCAAAGCTCATCATGTTCCTCACATGCCCTCTGATGGTCAGTGCACATCATAGCGACCGGTTGTTTGGTTGTTCTTGTACTTTGCCCGAATATTTGCATATTAGCCTTTTATTATATAGGATTATCCTCTAATACTTCTTCAAAATATCTAGTAAAATAAAACTGGCCATTTCAATGGGGAAATTAAAAATCAAATTTCCATTTTTTTATAATTAAATTTAATAGCATCCTTTTTCTTACTTGAGAGCTTCATGTTACACACATTAAAATTTTTACTGATATAGAATTAATTTTATTTGATGCATTTTAGTATATGTGCTGCCGAAGCGAGCACTTATTTGATGCATTTTATAAAATATTTGAAGTATATTTCATCAGTTATTGCACTGAGAATGTAAATATATCTGGGGTGATAAATGTGGGTGATGTGTGTATACTCATCTAATACCTAATGTACTCCAAATTATTTATTTTTGTTTTTTATTTTATTTATTTCCATCACCATTTATCCCCCATAATTTTTTTTAAGTTACAGAGAACTAGATTATTTAAAGACTAGAGGCATGGGGGTGGTGTCCCTCAGCCTGGCCTGCACCCTCTCCAATCTGGAACATCTTCTCACAATTCGGGACCACTGGCTCCTAACCACTCGCCTGCCTGCCTGATCTCCATTAACTGCCTCTGCCTGCCGGCCTGATTACCCCCTAACCACTCCCCTGCGAGCCTAATCGCAACCTAACTGCTCCTCTGCTGGCCTGATGACCCTCCCCTCCCCCAACTTCCCTTCCCTGATCACCTCATTAATGTTCTCCCCTGCCAGCCTGATCTTGCCCCTAACTGCTTGCTCCCATGCTGGCCTGATTGCCCTTAACTGCCTCTGCCTTGGTCCCCACCACTGTGGCTTTGTCCAGAAGGAAAATGTTCAATTGACTCAGTCTAATTAGCATATTACCCTTTTATTAGTATAGATAACTGTAACCTTAATGTATAGTATTATATACAAGGTTTTTGAAGGAACTATTATTTTCTATTGTTAATATATTTTATATCTGTATTGCATTAAAAAGAACCTTGTCTTGTGGATTAAAGTTTGAAAATATTGGCTAATGTTGGTTAAACTGTACCCACACTTTTGTTTGCTTCTAATGACCTTGGATAGATGTGGGAAATTCATCCTTGTTTTCTCCAGTCTTCCTCATCTTAGTGTGTTTTCCAAAGGGAAGTTAAAAATGAAAAATATGACAAATTCAGTTGAAATATTTTTTGCAGCTAATGCTCATGCATTTTCAAATTATGGCTGCACATACTAGTAGAGGATTAAATATTTTGGAGTTTCTAGCAAACTACCATGCAAATATTCTATTTGATCCCATAAATATTTGGTCACCATGTTTGAAATATTTGGTCACCATGCAAACTACATGCCCAACTTCCCCAAAAGTCATTCACAGAAAGTACAGCTGGTGCTGCTTACAGTGGTTCCCATTTGTTCAGTTTCTGAGATGTACTTTGCATCCACAGCCCCTTATTCTAACTTGTCCCAAATAGAAGTCATAACCTACAAATTGGACTCTGTCATCATCCTTATTTTACAGAGCACAGTATGCTAACTCTCATCTCTGCTGCTTGGGCTCAGACAGTGGTCTCTCTCTCTCTCTCTCTCTCTCTCTCTCTCTCTCTCTGTCTCTGTCTCTTTCTCTCTCTCTGACTTACAGCATTGCAGACAAAAGCACAGACTGGAGTCAGACAGTCTGGCTTGAAAGATGAGCTATACCACTTAGTACCTATGGTCTTGAGCTTCAGTTGAACCTCCTTTTGCCTCCTTCTCCTTATCTATGAATTGGGGGAAATCATATCTACTTCACAGTGGTGTTCTGAGAATTAAACAGACTGACTTATGTAAAACCCTTAGTGTCTGGCATCTATCAAAGCTTTCTAAGTGTTAGCTTTTGCTAATATTGTATATAGTATATGAATATGCATTCTATATTAAATGGACACAGGACATGTGGCATTAAACCATTTTAGAAGGCATTACTAAAATTGAGTTTCCTGCTTCTCAAAAAGATTAGAGTTCTATATTGACAACTATCAGAAGATTAGAATTTTACATTACTGAAGAAATGAACTCTTCTGTTGCCTTGGCAACAGGGTGTCCACGAGCCTGCATCTGTGGTGAAGATCACTAAGGCCCATATGTCTTCCTTCATCCTGTCTGCAGGTCCGTATTAGAGACTCATTTTTTGAGGTGAAACCATCATCTTTCCAGACATTTCTAATTAAGGCAAGAATCATTTTATACCTTACCTCAGCTCATCTGAAAGTGACTTTGTTTGCATAAAGAAAACAGGAGAGATGTGTGATCAGGCTTTTGGTAAGAGGGCCTAAGCGCTGATGGTGGAATTGATCACATGATACAAGAAATAAGCTGTGCCATCGGGAAGCCTGTGAAGAGGATTCTGGGGCTGAGCCTGTGGGCCCAATGGTGGGGAAGACTATGATTATAAATGTTTGTCATGCATGTGAGAGAGGAGAGGGCAACATACTCTATGGATTTTCTATCTTACACATCGCCTAAAAGAGGAGAAAGGCAGCAGGTGGTCTGAAAATGTATTCTGCCTTGCACATACATTCCCATACACTACTTCCTTTTGGAGTTAGCTCTAAAATTGGGTCCCCAAGCTCTCTGTTTAATTACAGGTACCTTTCTCTCCAAAAAAGGCCTCTTTCACTGGGCAGAGATAGGCAGGGAGCAAGGAGCAGGGGTGGTTGTTATGCCATAGCAGGCTAGCTCGTGGTCTTGGCAGCCACAAAGATTTGGGTTTGAATCCTGACTGCCAATTATTGACTTTGTGACTTATGGCAAGTTACTTGATCTCTCTGTGCTTTAGTGTTTTTCATCTAAATGGGCAAAGCAATACTCGTTACAGAATTTTAAAAGGGGTTAAATGAAATGATTTGTGTAATAGCACTTAGCAGATTTCTTTATATATAAAAATCCTATATAATAAAGAGTTAATATGCTAATGGTCATCACGCCATCATGCTGTAACAACCAGATCAGCAGGAGGCTGCATGCACTGCAGGTGCATATGGGTGGGAGAGGACTTGAGGCTGTGTCCTTCCAGATAAAGTTGCAGCGGCATCCTGAGGTCCAGGCCAGCTGAGGATGGTGGCTGCCAAGGCCCAGGGCCCGAGGCTCAGGCAATGAGGGTTGGGCCGAGGCTCAGGAAAATTGCCATGGCTGCAAGGGCTGAGCCTCAGGCAGCTGTGTGGCTGGCAATGGCAGCAGCAGAGGCCTGATGGGCGTCGCCTTTCCCTGATCAGCCATGGGGAGCAGGCCTAAGCCATCAGTAGGACATCCCCTGAGGGCTCCTGGACTGTGAGAGGGGGCAGGCCAGAGTGAGGGACACCCCCCCACCCCCTAAGCAGTGCACAAATTTTCGTGCACCAGGCCTCTAGTTAGTCAATAAATGACCAATATGACTGGTCATTCCAAGTGGGATGACAGTGATTTCAAACAAAATTATCAGATATGTCTGAGCTGGATTAAGAGTTTAGAGGTTCTGTGGATCTCAACTAAGTTTCCCCTCTCATAGGATATTTTTAAAAGTCTATATTTTGAAATGACTGAAAATGTGCATCTGTTAAAACTCAAATTGCTTCTTTCTAATTATCTGATTGCCGCATTCTGGATATGGGGCTTGAAATGGAGCATTTTTGTTTTTGTTTTTGTGGTTCTGCTTTGCTGGTCACATCAGCAAACCCCTTGTGGGTAAATCAGCTCTGGGACTATTCGGAATTAGGCAGGGAATAATCTTGACCTGTATGGATCCTGGATTCCTGCGATCCCTGGGAGCAACCACGGTCCTAAGAGGTAAGACGACCCTCTTCCGTCTGCTCCTCACAGGTAGAGGCTGCGGTGGCGGCCGCCAGGGCTGCCTTCCCCGGCTGGTCGTCCAGGAGCCCGCAGGAGCGCTCGCAGGTGCTGCACCGCCTGGCGGACCTGCTGGAACAGGCCCTGGAGGAGCTGGCTCAGGCCGAATCCAAGGACCAAGGTGAGCGGTGAGCAGTGAGCAGGTGCATCTGCAGGGCTGTCTCTGCCGGCCTTCCTTCTACCAGAGCACGGGGTGGACTGCAGCTGTCCCTTACTAAATGCTTTTATGGAAAGTGCAGCCCATTATCAAAGGCTGGACAACCATCCTTCCTCAACTGTAATCGCTGGAACTGGGCACTCTCTTCGTGTTTCTCCACCTGGGACCACAGGGCCGCAGGCACCCAGGCTTCTCCTGGAGGAGGAAGAGGGGGAAGCAAAACCACCCAAGGCCTCTGAGGGCAGAGGCGCCCCATTCTCATGGCCAAAGCGAGTCCCTGCTGAACCCAAGTTCAAGGGGCAGGGAAATAAATGCGCTCTGTTTGGTGGGAGGAACTGCAAACATGCGTGTCAAAGGGCATGGAGCTGGGGAGGGAGGAAGGGTTGATCACATGATCTTCCCCCAATTCTGAGAGGCGAATTAGAAAGCAAAGGTCACTTGAAGAGCAGTTCACAGTCAAGTTACTTACAAAGTGATCTGAGACACCACTGTTCTTCCCACACAATTGTCCCAATTTTCTTACCTGCTTTCCAGAAGTCAGGGTCATGGAGTAAATGCCTGTGGGTCTTTGCAATAACATCTGTTAGGAAAGGCAATTGCTTACGATGATGTGCGTGCTGTAAACCAGCCTGCTGTTAGGCAGAGGCCTGCCTCCAAGCCCTTGGGAAGAAAATGATTCCTGCTGGAGCTCCAGGCAAGCTTAGGTCTCTGGTTTGTTCACCCAGGAGCTAGGATGCGCGTGGGACACGTGATGGGTGATCAAGCGCCACACAGCTGCAGTGCCAGGGGTTTCCTGCCTACGTCTGCCACGTGCCCATCTTAATGACCCCTCCCTGAATTGGGGGTGGGGGAACATTTAATACACATCACGTGATTATCAAAGTGGTTTTTGGTGATGTGCAAATAGCAGCTATCTTTACACCCACGATTCCAACTCCCTCTTCGTGACATGTACAAAGCTTGCAATTTTGAAGGAGCTGCTGTGGGGGAAGTATTAGCATCTGGCAGATTTATGATGACAGCTCTGAATTGTGCAGCCCACAAAGCAAAGGTCATTTGACTCAATTTACCTCCCCCACCTTACCTTATAAACCTCATATCTAATTATTTCATGGTTTCATTAAACCACGACCTATGCTCTGTACAGTCAGTGAATGTCTGTCCCAGGCTAGAAGGAACGGAGTGGGGTATGTGTGTGGTACTGTCTCCACTTTCCATGGCTAAATACACCGACGGTGCTTTCTGTTGTTGACTGTTTTCACAGGGAAAACCATAACCCTGGCAAGAACCATGGACATTCCCAGGTCTGTACAGAACTTCCGGTTCTTTGCCTCCTCCATCCTGCACCACACGTCAGAGTGCACCCAGATGGACCACATGGGCTGTCTGCACTACACCGTGCGGGCCCCTGTGGGGATCGGTAGGTGCCGCTCCAGGAAAACCTGGACCATGACTGCACAGAGAGCAGCTCAGTCAGTTCTGTAGAATTGATCTAAAGGGACAGACTAAGGCAGAGGAAAGACTTCTACTGTGACTAAAATACAATTTGGGCCATTTCTGGTTTATTTTTTGTGTGTGAAATTCTCTACTTATTCCCGGAAAATTGTTCTTGGGAAATCACAGGTAAAAGAACGATGCTGAGAGGAAATTCATGAAGGAGGATTTTTCCCCCTTTGTAACAACAATAATAACAACAAAAAAGTCTATTTCCAGAAAGTTTATTAAGAGTATGGCTTCTGGATATGTGTGGGACAAGTTACATAACATTTGTGTGCTGCGGTATTCTTATCTGAAAAACTGAAAGAATAGTTTGATTTTGTATTTATGTATTTTATTTGAGTTAAATAAATTAGTAAGTGTAGAACATTCAGAACAGTGCCAGGTACATGGTAAATAAGCTATGGCTGAATTTTCTCATTCATTTCTTTGCTTCCTGCCTTTTGAAGACCCCTAATTATCTGCAATGACTGAAAATTTCCACTAGATGTCAATATTTCCTTTCAGAAAACCCCCATTGTTCATATTTTACCACTTACGTTTTATGACAGGATAACAGAATATGTTAAAAGGAAAAAAAAATGGGACATCTTACCAATTTGATTATTTGAAGCCTTTGGAAATGATATTTTCAAGGCATTATGAAAGATTCAGACATCTTCCTAAGAAGTATGCAAATACATTATGTTGCAAAAATATTATATCCTAAAGCAAAGAGTTTTCAATGGGAAATGTAATATCATAAACTATTTTTATATACTTTTATAGCACAGACTTGAAGGAAGATTATAAATTAAGTGACTTTGCTTTTATTTTTGCTTGCTTCATCTTTGGGAGGCTGGGCAGTTTCAAACTATCACATGAAAATACACTCTAGTTGTTGATTCTGTTATTTAAAGAAAAAACCCATCTGATCAGGATACAGATGAGAACTTAGAGAAACTTTTTTAATGCAAAAGTCCTTTGGCCGATATAAGATGGATTTCACAACCTCAGAACCTATTTGCTCCTATTTTATAAATAATTCTAAAAAGCTTGAATTTTATGTCTCCATCCAATAAACTCTGAAGAAATGGCAGCTGGACAGCTTAATGATGAGGAGAGAGAGATTTAGACACATGTAAAGATGAGTCCATAAATCTCAAAACTCATCACAGTATGGAACTGTTTAGCCCCCAAATTTATACAACTGTTGCTCATTAATATAATTGTAAGCTATCAAGAAAAGACTGAACTGTATTGATTTATAGTATTACAAGGCACAGTTATTGGTAATACATTTTAGAATGATTTCCCTGACGTTGGCTACAGATAAGCAAAGTTGGGGGTTGTAGGAGCTTAGGTTCCATGCAGCGAAAGGAGAACCCCGTAGGGCCAGTCTGCTCTGAGGGGCATGTCATTTTGGCACTGCCTCTGCTCTCGGTTAGCTGGTCTGATCAGTCCCTGGAATTTGCCACTCTACTTGCTGACCTGGAAGATCGCTCCGGCAATTGCTGCGGGCAACACCGTGATCGCCAAGCCCAGTGAGCTGACTTCAGTGACTGCGTGGATGATGTGCAAACTCCTGGAGAAAGCAGGTAAATACGTGTTAGAGTTTGAGGGAGGATTGGCTTTGGGGCTGCACATTGTGTAGGGCTTTAGCCCCCTTAGGGTCACTGACATTTGAAAAGTTATTTTGGGTAGAAACCTACTGAACAGCAAAACAGATTCCACAGACATCTTTGGTTTTTGTCTCCCTGTTCCTTTTCTGAGAAATCCCCTTCATCCGTGGGGCTCGCTCACAGGGCTTCCTCTATTCAACCCTAGAACAAGCCACAGCAGGAAAGTTCCTTCCTGCAGGCTCAGCTGGCAGCAAAGGGCACATGATAGGGAGACAAGGAGAGGCTTAAAGAGCCCCAATGAGACCGATATCAGCCTGCTCCAGGGGCTGTCCAAATCTGATGTTGGAACCACAAGTTAATCTTGATGAAAATAAGAATACTACTGGTACTTCTCTGGTTTGGATAGCTATAGAATACCTGCTAAAAACAGTCCATTTTCAAGAGATTTTAAATACATCCTTCTGTTTCCCCTGCATTTGGAATCATTACTCAGGTGCTTATATAACCTGGCTTCGTGTCCCCTTTTTGCTAATATTGCAATGACCACATTCAGGGAGTGTTTCTGGTTTAGTTTTGGGGTGTTCAGCCTGACACTGCACCCCACAAGAAGGCTGCTCGCTGTCAGGTCACTCAGTTCATATTTCCATGTCCTGGGGAGGAATGATGAGGGGGTGGCGGGGAGGGGGCTGTCTTTCTGGCTCTCTCTCTCTCTTTTTTAAAATATATTTTATTGATTTTTTACAGAGAGGAAGGGAGAGAGATAGTTAGAAACATCGATGAGAGAGAGAGTCATCGATCAGCTGCCTCTTGCACACCCCCTACTGGGGATATGCCTGCAACCAAGGTACATGCCCTTGACCGGAATCGAACCTGGGATCCTTCAGTCCCCAAGCCGACGCTCTATCCATTGAGCCAAACTGGTTTCGGCAATTTCTGGCTCTCTTGATCTCTGTTGTGTGTATTTACTTCAAGGAGGATTGCCAGTGTCCGTGGTTCAGAGTTCAGGTTCTAGAGGAGACCGTACACAATCGAAAGAGACAAAACAAGAAAATACTAATTTGGGAACTAGGAGGAAGCCCAAGAGAGGACTCCCTTTGCTCTTTGATCCCTTTTATTCAGGTTTTGGGATACATCCATAGCCCTTTGGCAGGCAATTCCAATAAATAGCTCAATGATAGCCCATCAGCAAGGATTTACATGAGACTAACAAGTGGAAGTTGCTTCAGCTCCGGACAATGGGTGTATGGCTCTCTGTCCTTGCCAGAGCCTCCATGTTGACCAGCCTTCTGGACTCTTTGTCCACCCCTTTCTGCACGTGAAGGCAATGAGCAGCTGTACCCTGCATTTTCTGAGCCAAAACATCTGGAGAAATTCAGCCTAGAGTGTATGCTAGGCAGAGGTAATACTGTAGTTTTTGCTTTACTACTAAACTAGAGGTGGCCATGAGTTCAATCCCACCTACTGGGCTTTCAAGGAGCATCTCTATGTAACCTAAAGTTCTCAACATGCCGAGGATACTTACTGTAACGGATACTGTTTCCCATCCAGGTGTCCCACCAGGTGTGGTAAATATTGTGTTTGGCACAGGGCCCAGGGTAGGCGAGGCCCTGGTGTCCCATCCAGAGGTGCCCCTCATCTCCTTCACTGGGAGCCAGCCCACAGCCGAGCGGATCACACTGCTGAGTGCTCCCCACTGCAAGAGGCTCTCCTTGGAGCTGGGAGGCAAGAACCCTGCCATCATCTTTGAGGATGCCAACCTGGAGGAGTGTATTCCAACCACTGTCAGGTCCAGCTTTGCCAACCAGGCATGTCCTCTGGGTTTTGGTTTGCTTTTTTGTTGGTTGGTTTTGAACTCTGCTGCCCCGTCAAGTAGGATCTGTTTCATCTTAATGCACAGCCAGGAGTGAGTAGATCAACCCGGTGCTGTATCAGTGAAAGGAGAATCATTACTTTGTGTTATTCCATTGACCATCTGTTCAATTTCAGTGTCAATCCATAGCCTTGTAGAGTCACAGCTTCTGTTCAGCACGTTCATTTTCTTGAATTACACAACTTTTATCAGGGGGTAGTCATGGGCAAAATTATTGATTTTTGCTACTCCAAGCTTATCCACATTGGTATTCATCGATTTCCCCAGACACTTCTTGCTCTCTAGATGCCCTACTTCCAGTAAACCTTTTTATCCTTCCAGAAGCCTCTCAAATGCATTCTTATCCTTAGAAATAAATACTAGAACCCGTCTAAAGCTGGTTTCTTACCTTAAAGTCACCGATGAGTTTCAGGGCATCTTTGCATCTCCTGAAACTGAAACAGGTCTTTTCCTGGGATCCATAGTTCTCACCAAGGTCTTCAAGGCCATAGCATCCGAGAGGGTGAGGAACACGAGGTCAGATACCCTACACTGTAGGCTTCGTGGAGAGGGTAATAGTGCCTGCTTCTGTGCAACATATGAGCCTCAACACCCAAGACAGTCCCTAGGATGGAGCATACATATTGAATGATTTTCTCCAAAGCTGTGTTCTACATTTTTAATATAAAAAACCTAGACTTAAGCCAAAGAGTTAGAACTTCCATAGAAGGAAAGATGAGTGGAATGAGATATATCTTTATTCAACCTAACTTGAATAATTTGCATAATCTTTTGAACCTTCACTTTTTTTCCAGTAAATTATGGCAATTGTAATAATTATGCCTTCCAATAGGGTTTTTGTGAAAAACATTCTGTATAATGATTATTTTCATGATCACTATAATTGTAATTAATTATCTCTCAGAAATTCCTAGAAAAAGTGCAGCATATCTGTCCATGAAGGAGTGTGTCCTGCAGTCTTGTCATTTTCCCCATGTGTCATTCTTGGCAGGGTGAAATCTGCCTCTGTACCAGCAGGATCTTTGTCCAAAAGAGCATCTATAGTGAATTTTTAAAGAGGTTTCTAGAAGCTACCAAACTGTGGAAAGTAGGCATTCCCTCCGACCCATCGGCCAGCATGGGAGCTCTGATAAGTAAAGCTCATTTGGAGAAAGTAAGTAAATCTCTGCCATGTACATCACAGGAAGAGTTCTTGTTTGGAGAGAAACTCAGTGCAAGGCATGCTTTGGAATATTATTAATTACTATCTTATATTTGAGCAGTTATGACCTGTGGGAAATTATCTCTGGATACAGAGTCTAAAAATGTTGGATGTGAATAAACAAATGTAGTGCAGATTTACAACAGCATCCGTGTGAGATGAATGTGCTTGAGAAGTCAGCATGAAGATACCACGAGAAGACTGAGAAAGGCAATTTTCAAAGTCTAAAGGTCAAAATCTCCATAAGTAACTGTTCCCAGTGGAGAGGGTGCTGCCTCTGGCTTATATCAGATAGCATTTTGTAATTTCCAGAACACACAGTCCAAATTATGTGGTCTTTAGTTAGTGGAGTGACTAGCAGTGGCCTCTGTGGGAGAAGCCATTGATGGTGTATGGGTGGCTTATGAAATTTCAATTTCTAAAAGTCATTTTAATTTATTACCTGATGTGACTCTTCCCAAAATCAGTCATAGATTCTGGTACTAGAAGGCTCTTGTCTTCAGCTGCAATAACTAAGACCCACCACGGAAAATGTGCCTCCGTCATCAGTCACTAAGGGGCAAAGCCGTTACTTAAGTTTGTAGAAATCTGTGGCACCGCACTGATTTGGCAGACTTAGCACTCAGTTTAACATTGACCTTCACAATATTGTGAAGCACAGAGGTCACAGGTGGGAGGGTGATGTCGCTTGATGGTCTCTTCTTTTTTTTTCTCAGTGAAATAGGAAGCAGGTGATGGGGAGAGAAGGTGTTGGGGTTTTCAGGAGAGAGAAGAAAGTATGGAATAGTCTTGCAGATCAGGAGAGAGAATGGACTTTGAAATGATTGTGTTATCAGCAGGCAACTCCAAGGGCTCATTGAGACTTGTGGTCACTTATTTAAAGTGAGGCTGACCAAGACTATACTTTCAGGGATCATTTCTATAGTTCGTTACTAAAGTGAGGCTGACCAGCATGGCTCTTTTCTTCCAATCCAACTCACCTGCTAGATTACAGGTGCTTAGGCAGCAGTCCTCAGAGCATCCCTGGGACTCATAGTTGTGGATGTTGCCTCCTTGTGGAATGAGGAATCACCAGGTGCAGGAGGCTTCTTTGTTCTCTCTTGTCCGGCTGTTCTGGACACCAGGCCTCCAGGCCTGCCCACCCATGCAAATAACTGTTGCAAAGCAAGTGAAGCATGTTCTGAATGCTTCCTATGGAGCAAAGGTTAACTTCCAGAAGCATTTTTGCAGTAGGCTAGGGGCTTGGTGCAGGCTGAAGTCCCCTTTGAAATTCACCACTCACCTGAAGTTTAAAGTGCTCTCTAGGACATCAATAGGGAGACTATTTTTTTTTCTTTCTATCTTAGGCCATTATTCACCCAATAAAGGGATATATATCAGTGAAGGAAATAACATTATTTGATTTACCTGTGGGCTTTAACATAATATTTTTAAAATATATTTTTTATTTATTTCAGAGGGGAAAGAAAAGGGAGAAGATAGAAACATCAATGATGAGAGAGAAACATTGATTAGCTGCCTCCTGCATTCTCCCACTGGGGATCAAGCCCAAAACACAGGCACATGATTTGACTGGGAATTAAACTATGACCTCCTGGTTTATTGGTTGACGCTCAACCACTAAATCACGCTAGCTGGTTATAATATGATATTTTTGATGCTCAGCATGACCCTACTTGCACACAGTGGCCTTTTCTTATGGCTGCCTCATGGTTCTTCTGAGCTCCACCCAAGGCCTCCTTGTAGGCATCTCGGCTCTCTGATAGCAAATAGCTTCAGCCATGTGAGTTACTTGTCCCCACATGGGCAATAGGCCCTCTTCAAAGCCAGCCTCAGACCCTGTGGGTGCTCATTAGATGTCCCAGGATGCTAATAGGAATCAAGAGGAGGCAACTTAAAACCTGGTTGTGCTGAGCTCACACGCTGTCCTTTTAAGAGGATCCTGTGTCCATGCTGATATTTCACATTAGCCAAGTTACTTTTATTTATTTATTTATTTTTATTTTTTAAAATATATTTTATTGATTTTGTACAGAGAGGAAGGGAGAGAGATAGAGAGTTAGAAACATCGATGAGAGTCATCGATCAGCTGCCTCTTGCACACCCCCTACTGGGGATATGCCTGCAACCAAGGTACATGCTCTTGACTGGAATCGAACCTGGGACCCTTCAGTCCCCAAGCTGACGCTCTATCCATTGAGCCAAACCAGTCTCGGCTAGCCAAGTTACTTTTAAACCTTGCTTTATTATCATAGATATTTGATATACCTGGCTATGATGTATCTTGTTATGTATGGTCACACCTCACCTGTTCACAGTCAAGCCTGAGTCTTTAAAGTGGCCCGGGAGTCTGTTACCCATTACCACTGTCCCTATTACCTGTCACCCTTCCCCTCCCTCATTCTGCTGCTGCATGCTAACCTCCCTATTCTTCCTTGAAAATATCAGGCCACTCCTTCTTGCCTTTTACTCTTGCTGCCCTGCCCCATGAATGTTCTTCCTTCAGAGATTTACTTGGCTTTCTCCTTAGATCAAATATTACCCTCTGAATTAGAGCTTGCCTGCTCACCCTATATAAAGTCACACCTACCAGAACTTCCTCTGTCTCTTTGCAGCTTTATTTTTCTCTGTGACTCTTACTACCACCTGACATATAATATGCATTATTTATTCCTTTATTGACTATTTTTACTTGACTAGAATGAAAGCTCCACGATCACTTTCATTCACTGCTAGATCCTTACATCCCCCCAAAATTCCTGGAACATAATAGGTGCATATTATTGTTGGACAAATGTTTGAATTAACACTGCATCTTGTGTTCTAGTTATACCCCCAAATTTGAGGATTCCATTTTCCTTGAACACTTGAACACTAGCATCTCATATCTCTGATCATTAAATCTCAATAACAATAAAAAAATCCATATAAACACATACAAGGCTTTGAGGTTTTGCTTCACCCTCTAACTCTTCATCGTTCCGTTGGTTTTTCAGCTTATGTCACAGGCAACTTTAGAACTGAATTTTAGTTTCTTAAAAATCTTTGAAAAATATTGGTGTTCAATTCTCATTATTATACAAATCCAACTTCTTACATGCCAACTAAGAATTTCAAAAAATATGATCAGCTTATTTTCTAAATTCATTAGAGGATTTTTTTAAGAATTACTACAAATAGGCAAGTGGACCGTTTACTGTAGGTCCACAAAACCCCTTCCCCAATGTTCTTGCTTTCTCAAGAACCAACTTATAAAGAGGTACCACAACTTTTCAATTATAATATATTTTAGTTGAAAACAACATATTCCTCCAAATTATCAAACTTTTGTTTCATTTTGTTTTTGGTGATTCCCAGCAACTTTAATTACCTTTAACATGAACATAGATAATTTAGCAAGTTGTAGTATCAAAATATTTTAGTATACAATTTTCAAAAAAATTTCTAGAGTTAAATACACACCTTAAACTTTGTGTATTTGAGTGACTCCACAGAGAAGACCTTAAATCGCCTTCTTTTCAGTATGTTGGTGGTCGGGGTCCAATGAGAGGGATCCCCACGCATGGGGTGTCCTGGTGGATCCTGAGGACTTACCTGCTGCAGACTGAGAATGTATCAAGGGCAGGTGGAAGCTGAGGCCTCCTTTAGCATGTGTGTGTCCACTTAGCACCTGTGCACAGAGAGGAGTGCACCATCTGCAGGCTCTGGGTAAACCCAACCCCAGGTCCATCTCTGTGAGTTTCACCAAGTGAGCTAGTACTCATCTGAGTCCAGGCTAAGATATGAAGGGGAAGCCTGGTTTCCCCCCCTTTCTTCCTCGTGGCCTTTTCAGATTGTGACTTTTCAGTTCAGTCTGCCAAACCATGTGTGATCAGGAGAAAGGGGACAACTTTCCTTGCCTTTTGCTAGAAAGCTCTGGGGGCTGGGCTAAGGAAGGTCTATTTGTGATCATTGCATACCTCATCTCCTCTTCTGCATTATGTCTATATCCTCTCAAAATAGAAATAGCCCTGCAGAGTCTGGGGTCTTTGTGTCCATCCTACCTCTGTGCAATTGTCATAATAGAATGGTGATGCAGTGACAGAATAATCCAAGTAGAATGTGTAAAGGTTGTATTTTAATGGCAAATGTCTCAGAAACCCCCAGAGACAGAGTTTCTCACAAGTTCCTAAGTAGAAATGTCACATCCCAGGTTCCTAGTAGCTGCAGGGGATGCAAAGTAAATAGCAATGATTCTGTCCTCAAGGAATGAAGAAAAGTCTCCCTTGCCTATTTCCACTTTTTCTTTCTATTTTTACCCTCCATAATTCTCCCCTACTTGTCTGTCTGGAGAGTCTGGCTGTATGCCTGCCTTTCCATATATGCACGTAACTAGTGAGATAGAATTCTCGAGTGTTTACAAGGAGGCTGGGGAAGCCCAGAGGATGTTCACAGATGCACCTCCCAGTTGGACCAGGCTATGAGGTCCACTCTTAAAGTTTCCTATCTCCTTTGTCACCTAAGCAAACTGACGCACAGAGGGGGGACACCTCTGAAGTCTCTTAGCTAGTAAGTGTCAGATCATGCATTCATTGTCATCTGCATCAACAGCAATGGCCGCTGCTGGCATTCAAGAGACTTACTGTGCCCCAGACATTATGCTAACTATTTTACATATTTTATTTAATCCTATGGATAGATGGCAGTGTTAATCTTATTTTTAGGTCATGAAACTGAGACACAGAGCATTTAAAATTCCTGAGCTAGTGAGTAATTTGAGCACAGTTGGGCTCCCAAGTCCACTCTTCTCTATGCTCTGATTTTATATGCAAAACTAGTAAGTACTAACAATTCTCCACTCAAGAAAAGTTTTGTAATAATAATTCATTATATTTCAAAGCATATTACCAGTCCCGAGGTTGTTTCCCCCTCAGATTTTACTGAGCTGCTAGTATAGATAACATTCTATCATCCCTCTAAAAAATAAATTCAGTTTAGTATGAGTCACCTTATGCATTAAATATTTTGATAAATCTACAATTTGAAACTAACACTTCTCTTCATATTTGATTATCCCAAATTATTTCTAAGAGATAATCTAATCCTGTAATTCTGTTTAGACATGACAATGTGAAGCCAGAGCACTCCTCGTACATGGTATTGTTACATATTTCCTGGCACTGCCTCCAGAATGTGCCACTGGAGACCCTGGCCTGGACTTCCTTCATTCACCCCAGAGGCAACCTTTGTCATCTTTTCATTAATGTGGGTGGGTTGTTTTAAAAGGAGTGAGAGAGGAGGGAGAAGTCCAAACCTATTTTAGTTTCTACCCACAAACTGGCCTAGGGGTTTTCTGGGAAGGCTTTGAGATCATCATGCCAGCTGGGAGAGGAGGTGTGGCAGAGGGGAGGATAAATTGAACCGAATGTTCTGTTTTTAAAAAGTATTTGACTTATGGCATACTAAGTGTGCTCCAAATTGAAGCAACAAATAATAAGATAACACTACCTTTTTATATATATGGCAAATATATAACTCTATTTTGAATATAGTTCTACAGTGGAGTTCTAATTTCAATACTGGGACAGAAACCTCAGATAATAAATGATAAGTAGGAATCCAAAATGTCCCTTCAAAATTGACCCTGCCTTTGATGTACTACTTGACTCTTGTTCTGTACTTTAAATTTTGGAGATTAATTTCATATTTCTCTTATGCTGATAATGCTGCTCAGAGGCAGACTCATATATCATTATGACTTAAACATTTCCATATATAAATACATATATAATTATTGTAAGTCTACAACCATTAGTAATAAATACCTGTCATTATCTCTAAGTCACTGGGTTAGCTTATTACATAACTTATTTTTCTATTATAGTTACCTAAATATATTTCTGAATATAATCAGTAATGAGACTAGAAATTATTTGTTCTGGAAGTTCAGATATTTGAAGGATATCCTGGACTTTAATTAAAGTCTTGTACACCATTCCACTTCACACTTTCTACATAGTCCCTCAAAAAGTGATAAAATATTCTTTTTGTGTATTTAATTACTGAATATGGCTGAATGTGAATTCTAGTGTTCCAGTTTACTAGTTTTATGAAACATGTACCCTTTCTGAGGCTCAGTGACATCTTCAGCAAGTAGAAGATAACAATACATTGCCAACAGACTTTTGAGAGTATATGTAAGACATACATTTACTTGAACATTAAGTAAATTACTCTTTCCCTTTTCATATGAGGACTGAATGCCCAAGTGATGAGCACTTGTGCTCCTCAGGCTCAGCAGCCGAGTGATAAGATAATCAACCTTAGATTTCTTGGCAATGACCTCATATGTCTTTCCTAGATGATTTCAAAATACCGGATTTTGTGTTGCTTTGTGTGAAGGTAAGATGTTACTAATTATGGTTTTCACCCCCCCAGGTCAGAAGTTACATCAAGAAAGCTCGTGCTGAAGGGGCCCAGATTCTGTGCGGTGAGGGAGTGGACAAGTTGAGTCTTCCTCTCAGGAATCAGGGAGGCTATTTTATGCTTCCCACCGTGATAACAGACATTAAGGACGAGTCCAGCTGCATGAGGGAAGAGATATTTGGTCCTGTGACGTGTGTTGTCCCCTTTGATAGCGAAGAGGAAGTGATTAAAAGAGCCAATAGTGTCAAATATGGGCTGGCAGCGACCGTGTGGTCTAGCAACGTGGGGCGTGTCCATCGGGTGGCTAAGAAGTTGCAATCAGGCTTGGTCTGGACCAATTGCTGGCTCATCAGGGAGCTGAACCTTCCTTTTGGGGGGATGAAGAGTTCTGGAGTAGGTAGAGAAGGAGCCAAGGACTCTTATGAATTCTTCACTGAAGTCAAAACCATCACCATTAAACACTGACCTTGGCCAGTGGAGAAATTGTTACGGTCAATGCCTGGCTACAGACAATCAGTGGTATAGTGTGGTGAATGGAAATAGTGACAGAAATTCCAGCCAGGGCTTGACTCAGCTGAAGGTTATCTAGGTGAAGAAAAACAATGTAATACTTCTGCTTGGGAAGACACAAAAAGGAAGCCAAACAATTGTTCTCCTATGTTGTGTGTTCATAGGATTTAAAAAAGTCATTTTGATTGGTTTCTTGGAAATTCACAGATAATCAAATTTTTTTCCCCATTTGCAAGTGAGTAGTTAAAAGAAACCTACAAAGCCAAAGAAATACAAATCACCATAATTTCCTACCTTTAAGGAGATTGTCAAGATGGTCTCCTATCCATCAGTTAGTAGCATGGCTAATTATTAATTGACTGTACTTCATTATTCAAGAGGACCGTGAATGTCAACGATAAACACAGCATGGGATTTGTCAGAGAAGGAACATATGGAATCTCCCAATTTATGTATCTGCATATGCACAAAGAAAAATAACATAACTATTACTTTTGGAGGAAACTTAGGACAAGAAGAAATTGATCAATTTCTACTATGTTGTCTAATCAATTCCAATTCTTAGTGTGTGTACCTAATGAGATGTAACAATTTATTAATCCTAAAGGAAGCAATAAATGTTAAGCAATTTTAGTAACCAGTATGGCATATATCTACTTTTTGAATTGTCCTTTATTCCTCCTTATCCCCATCCTCTAGGAGTATGGACTTATACTAAGTAATAAAGTATTTCTAGTGCTTTCTTTTCTAGATCCTCTGGTGATCAGAGGAGAAGCTTGTTTTGAGCATCTTCTATGTGCCAGGCACTATGCTCTGAGGTTTATAGACCTTAAAATAGCACACCCAAGATTACACAAAAGGTATGGGCAGAGGTAGGTCTGACTCGAACACCAGGGCTCTGACTCCAATGCCATGCTCTCTGACCACTTAATACTTGCCTTGAACTGTGTTCCAGAAGCAGCCAAGTACTATAGTACATAGGACATCACTGTGTGTCTCCCTTCCTTATGTCCTCCTGCTTTGCCTCTTCCCTCTTCACCTCCAGCACAGCCCTTTCCATACTGCCTGAAACAGTCCGACTTCCTGACAGGACTGGAATCACTGATGGCCAAGCAGGTGTTCATCTCCTCTGAAGTCTCCTTTCACAGCACAGTGCTTGGCACATAGAAGGTGCTCAAAACAAGTTTTGGAAATGGAACCAGGTCTTCTTGGAGCTCTGGGATATTGATTGGATGGTATTTAGGGGAGTTGGAAATGGAGACACATTGATATTTATAATTTTGCATAGTTTTGTTTTTATAATTTTGCATAGTGTTTTGGATATGTTGGCTCATTCACAAATGCTAAAAAATATAAATCCCCTTGAAGCCAAGTGATGGTATCAGATCATACCTGATTCCTAAGGTCTATCTTCCTTTCCCCCTCTTTTCCCCACCTCCAGCCTTCCCTGGCTGAGAATTCTTGACTTAGGTTAATTAAATCTAAGACCAATCCTGAGTATCCAAGGAATTTTAGCAACTCTAGACTCTAAGAATCTTCATTCTATTTTTTTGTTTGCTTGCTTGTTAATCCTCATTCGAGGATATTTTTTCATTATTTTTTAGGGAGAGCAGAAGAGAGAGGGAAAGACAGAGAGAAATATCAATGTGAGAGTAACACATTGACTGGTTGCCTCCTGAATGATCCCTAACCAGGGCCTGGACCAGGGAGGTGCTTGCAACTAAGGTCTGTGCCCTTGACCAGGAATCAAACCCAGGACTCTTTGGTCAGCAGGCTGACGCTCTATCCACTGAGCCAAACTGGCTAGGGCTCATCTTTATTCTTGTCATTGGTCTGGCCAAGCTTATCCTTACTTCTCATACCTAAGCATATCTTGATTCCAAATTCTAGCAGCCTATTTGCTCCCTATGCCTGGAAGCCCATCTCCCACACTTGTTTTCTGCCTACAAGTATTTCTCTCTAGTCGTAGGGGTGTCGAACTCAATCAGAGAAGGGGCCAAAATCTAAAATCCAGCCTAAATCGCGGGCCGAATGGTTTACTGAACAGTCATAAACTGTCATTGTGATGGAAACGCAGCGGAGTGCAGTGATGACAGCGCGGTGCGGGCCACATTGTAAGGCCTGGCGGGACGGATTTGGCCCGCGGGCCTTGTGTTTGACACATGTGCTCGAGGACTTGGAGCCAGCCCAGCTGTTGTCACTTCTCTCTGGGCTCTGGATCCTGCCTTATGAAGGGGCTTGCTTCTCCTGACAGACACTCTGGATACCGTTCCTTGCTTCTGTGTCTCTTTGGACATTCAGAAGCTACTCCTGGGTTCACAAGGCAGTCTGATTAACACGCATTTGACTAAATGCTGTCCTCCCCATGCCAACATTATCCCAGTTCTCAGTCATTAAAAGCAGTGGCTATTATGTCTTAGCATCCCATTTGGCCTTTCCTCCTTTTTTTGAGACCATCCAACTGGGTGAGTATCATGCCAAGACACTACCTGTCCAAGGCCATCCCACTGTTTCAAGCCCCACATCAGTCCTGTTTTGATGGCCAGGTGCCATTTAGGTCTGTGCCCACCCTAGGACAAAGTATCCCAAAGAAGTGCCTCCCAGCTGTGGGGCTGCCAAGGCCCCTGCAATGCTGTGCTCAGAACTGAATGAAGAAAATTTGGGTGGTGATGGTAATCACAAGTTTTATTTTTAGATTTTTAAATTTAATAAATCTTTATTGTTCATATTATTACAATAGTTTCTCCTCCCTCCCCCCATAACTCCCCTCCACCCGGTTCCCACCTCACCCTCTGCCCTTACCTCCCCGCCACTGTCCTCATCCATAGGTGTACGATTTTTGTCCAGTCTCTTCCTGCACCCCTCCCCCGCATACTTTTTTCCCCCCTGAGAATTATCAGTCCACTCCCTTTCTATGCCCCTGAGATTTAATTATATTTATAAAGTTTTATTTCTAAGCTGGATGGTGGATATTTGGGTGTTTACTATACTATTTTTTTTTTTTAGTAGGAAATATTTACATAATATGTTTGTGTTTTTTTGTTTTGTTAAAAAATTAGTGATCATCCAGCCAGCAGGGCTCAGTGGTTGAGCCTCGATCTATGAACCAGGAGGTCACGGTTGGATTCCTGGGTTGCATATGCCCAGGTGTGGGCTCGATCCTTAATGTGGGTGTGCAGGAGGCAGCAAACCAACAATTCTCTCTCATCACTGATGCTTCTATCTTCTCTTTGCCTCTTCCTTCCTCTCCGAAATCAATAAAATATATTTTAAAATGATGATTAATGAAGGATCATCAAATATTTGGTAAATGAGAAGTACCAAAATGTGTGAACAAGCAACTATCCATGGGACAAAAAGGTAAAAGAAAGAGGGAAGGCACTAAACACTGAATTACTCCACAGAGAGATTTGAGGGGATGGTGTGTCTATACAGAAGAATAGCTACTAAGAAAGGAAGCAAGGAGGAACATGAAAGAGCCCTTGAAATATTGAACATTGGTTCCTCAAATGATTTTTAAAAATTAATAGACTTGAATCATTGATACGGCTAAAAACTAAATAAGTAATAGAGAAGATAAAATTGAAAAAATAGCTCAGAACATAGAGAATGACAGAAAGGAAAGCTATCAGAAAGAAGTTGAGATGGAGGATAGATCTAGAAAGCTATTACTATGTAACTAATCCAAGTTGACAGAACAGAGATGAAGAATCAAATAAATAAGAAAAGATAATTTACCTGAACTAAAAAAAAAATATTTTCAGGAAAAAAATATTCACCATGTGCCAAGAACTATTCTGTTGGGGGGAAAATTTTTCTAGTATAAAGCCTGTGGAGAGAATTAATAGAATACCTGAAAAAAAGTGTCATCACTTTTTTAAAATATTTTTTTATTGATTTTTTACAGAGAGGAAGAGAGAGGGATAGAAACATCGATGAGAGAGAATCATCGATCAGCTGCCTCTTGCACACCCCCTACTGGGGATGTGCCTGCAACCAAGGAACACGCCCTTGACCGGAATTGAACCCAGGACCCTTCAGTTCACAGGCTGATGCTCTATCCACTGAGCCAAACCGGTTTCGGCTGTCATCATTCTTTGCATTAATAATATTGGTGTTAGAATACAATGGAATAAAACTTTAAAATTCTCAGAAAAATTATTTTGAATCTAAATTTATAGCCAGCAACCTATTACTTAAGAATGAATGCAGAGTAAGGTATATAATGACCCAGAAAACTGCTCCTATTTACTCTCCTTGGAATGACTTAGGGATGCAGGAAATGTAATCTAATAAACAGAAAAAACTGCCTCAGGAATAAGATGAAAGTTTTCAAGTTGTTAGCTGTAAAACAGGGCTAGGAAACAATTGGCCCAAATTAGAACAGGGAAGACAGAAGGTGGTGATTAAAAAAAACATTGATTGAAAAAATATGTTTAATAATCTGAATCATCTTAGATATGTAAAAAGGTACATGCATGTCTATTCTATCAATCACAATAAAGGAAAGAAAAAATTATTCTGAAGTCATGATAAGATGAAGCAAATTGAAATGTGACATGACTTAGAAAAATAGGAGTGTAAGTAAAGGAAACCCATTTTCAAGCATTTTTTGAATGCATATTATGGTAACAAAATCACATTTCCATGTTTATGGGTCTTGATTCTGCAATTACTATTTATATATTATGAACGTGTCTTATTGGTTTTCAATGTTTAAAGTGAAGCTATAGACAAAATACAGAAAACGAATTTAAAATTACAGAACAGAGTGTGAAAGGTTACAAGCCTGGATGATGTTAGTCAGGAGACAAGCAGGGAAGAGGAAAGGGTGGGGTGGGGGGTGGGGGGCGCAAGGTTATAGGCCGTGAGCTGCTTTCCTCATCTTATAGGATGGGAAGCGGGTTGATAATGTTGGAAGCTGAAGATAAGAATTTGTGCATATTAAAATTATACATGGAACCATGAGAGATCTTAAAATTAGAAATCTTACTATGTCACAGTAACTCATAAGGACAGGAAGGTGACATGCTGATAGCTGAGAGGTAGGGCAGTGCACTGAATCCCCACAACTTTTACGCTTGGAAACTATCATTTGAAGCTGATAAGGCCAGAAACACAGGCGCACACATATGGATTAGGTCTATGATGTAGAAGATCTACATCAGAACTATTTAAAAATGGATCTTCAGGGAAATAGAACTAAGGATGGGGGAGTTTATGTTTTAAATATGTTAGAACAACCTTTTATAAGTAATAGTATTTGTACTTACAAACTCCCAGTGAAGTTTTCCACATGCGTGGGAACTGGGAAGGGGACTCGAGGTCTAGAGTGCTCCTCCAACCCTGTTGCTTTATAAGGTCTGAGATTACCTGGTGCCTGGGAGACCCAGCCAATAGGAGAGAACCTGGGGAAGCTGCCACCCTGCTCAGCGGAGCTTCTCAGAGGCAACCCAGGGACCCTCTCCCACTGAGCAGGGAGGGTGAGGCCTGTCTGGGATAGTTCTCATCAGATCAGATACTCCCCAAACCCTGAGCCCTGACTTTTGAAAGAAAATTCCAAAGACTGGGCTCTTCTTTGCTTCGCACTTGTTTATCTCCTGGGAATTTCCTGTGCCCTTTTTTGGCGGTGCCTGC